ATAATAAGAACAAAATAAATACAAAAGAATAAATTATTGATTAATTTTATAAATCAGACAAGTATCATTTAAATTAAATTAAGCAAAAGGTAACATGCAATACCTTTTTAGGTAAATAAACTACTCCTTCAACTTTGACGAAAATCAATGTTTAGTTGACAAATTTAAAGGATTGAAATTTATAGGCCTACGTAAATAGATTTTTAAATTTGGTGAGTTTTTTTCCTTAGATATCTTAACTATATCATTTTTTTATTAAATTATTGAATCATTCATAATTTGTTCTTTTAGAATATTGTTAGTTGATTTTGATCGGCTTTTTAATTGTAAATGTTTTCAATTGTGTTCGAATTGTAATAATTTTGATTGAAGAAATAAAGATAAAATCGTGTTTGTCTCATTTATTTTCTAATGTATTCAAATGACCTAAATAAAATACAATTGTTCTCGAATATTTTCATTATTAATTGAACTAATGAATTGTGAAACAACGTATGTATCCTTTATTAATATCCTTTAAAAATCTGATTTCACATCAGATATGAAAATTTTAATTATTTAATAGGAAAATAACGTAGTTGAGATATATGAGGGGTGAAAATCCAACATGATACGTCTATTTGGCCAAATTTATAAACAGCATAATTAAAAAACAATTAAACCGAAATTCTAATTGAAATGCCGCCATTACTCATTTTCCAATTTCAAAGCAGAAACACAAGTACCTTTCACTAGCCACCGAGATCAAGCAGCAGTTTACTCAACAATGAGAGGCGCCGGACGCCGTCGTACCAATTCTGCAGTGCCGGATCGCCGTCATCCACCACCGACTCCGATAAACGACCCAAGGCAATTTATCTCCACTGGCGGGCGTGATTCCGACGCAAGCTTCGCCAGTAGCCGGCCTTCATCTGCCGGTGTAAACACTCGGTCCTCCGCTATCCCCATCTCTGACCGCTCCTATCAACTCTCTGCTCTGCGTACAATCAATGCTTACCTTTCCTCCCACTCTCTCCCTTTTACTCTCAAACATCCTCTCCCTTCTGCAAAAGATATCACCGAAACCCTAAAATTCATTCTCTCTCGTTTCGGATTTTCCTTAGCAGAGTCGCATAAACTCGAAGATGATCTCCAAACCCTACTGAAATCCCTAAATTGCCCCGTGAAATTGAACAAATCTGCATTACGCGCCCCTGGGACGCCTCATTCCTGGCCTAGTCTACTTGCAGCAATTCACTGGCTTGTTCAGCTATGTAAATTTGATGATTACCGGATGAGTTCGGCTCAACCACTAGCTCCGAGTAATAAGGAATTGAGATATACTGTAGAGAGTTATTTGCATTACTTTAGGGGGAAAGATGATCAAGTAGATGAATTGGATCGCCAATTTATGCAAGAGTTGGAACAACATAAGGAGCGGTTGGTTGAGGATGTGAATGTCTTGGAGGAGAATGTGAAGGCTCAAGAGGAAAAGTTGGAAGAAATGAAGACAGGACCATCGGAAAGAGAGACGTTGGAGAAGGAGAAGAGTGCGTTGGAGGAAGATGTAAAGAAGTTTCAGGCTATCATTGAACAGTTAGAAGGGCATATAGTGAAAATGGATAAGATGGTGGAAGAGAAAGAAAAAGGGTTAGAGACTAAGGTTACAGAGAAAGAGAGCATTTGTGCAGAGAATGAGGAGTTGAAGAAGAGGGTGGAGGAACAAGGGATTAATTCCAGGGATGCAGATAGGATGAAGAGGGAGTTGCATGCTTTGGAAAGGGATATTGGGGATATTGAGAACCAGAGGATTGAATGGGAGGAGAAGGCTTGGGACCTCGACTCTGCGATTGGGAACATGTACAAGAAGCTTGAGGAGCTAATGATTGAGTGCAACCAATCTATCAGGAGGTTGTCATTCCCTCTCCTGTTATTTATGTTGTTTGAAATAAGAGTATCTTACTTTCCATTTAACAGCATGAGATTCAATATTTTTCGTAATATAAGTGTTTGTTGTTCTATGAACATGGATATATTGCATTGCTGTGCTATTTTAGTTGGACTAAAGCTATAAGAATATGGCTACTAAGATAAGATTGGAAGGACATTATATTGTTTTCCCTCAATTGATTGTTTCTATCAACATTCACTTAAGTTTAAATGGCCGTTACAACATGATACTGTTAGATTGCTTCTATAATGGGTTCTCGGCAGATAATTTAGGTGACAGATTAATGGGAATGCAATTTGCTGAAAGTTATATGTAAACTGACTTTATATCTGTGCTTCTCAGAGTTTAATTGATTCACTAACTTCCAAAAACATGCCTTTCTTTCTCTAATGGGTAGTGAATTGTTAGCTACGGTGATATATGAGAATCACAATTTAGCCCATTGTTGTAGTGCTGCTCCTCTAAACTTTGACTTGAGATATGAATGAGGAACACTATACTAGTCACAAGGCAATAATGCTAAGATTCTCATCATACCTTTTAGTTATAGATTCTTGAATTTAGTTTTTCCAATCACTCCGGTTAGAAACTAAGGCTGCAGCATGCCTCCATTTTTTAAAGAACAATTGATCCTTCAATGTTGTAGTCTCTGCATTAATTAGATGTATCTTGCCTGACTGGGTGCTATGTTGGAATTGAGTTCTGTATTTCCAGCTATATGACGGTCCTTCATGAAGAATATTTTTTATTCTATATTCATGTTTTTATTGTTGGATTATGCGGCAATTGATGATACACTTTTTGAATTTGGCCAAAGCATGGACGAAAACACCCAAATGCCACTCGGGAAAAAAGATTTTGTGGGAGTGTCTCTATGCAACAATCATTTCTCAGATTTCTGTGCCTTCTTGTTGCTGCTTGAAAAGTTCTTTTCTTTTCCATAGCTTATCAGATTGAACTGTTGGAGCAAATTTTCTACAATTTGATGATTTAGATCATAACTTGGGAGGGGTTAAGATTGTAAGTTTGAAACTAGATCAGTCAAAGTGAGATGGAGCAAGTATATTTTTGTATGTTTTCTGTGGTTTGCGGTGGAACTTTCCTTCTACTTGTTGCTCGTCATCATTTCCTTAATTACTCTGACAACAAACAGCCTCATTTGAAATTTCAGGTTAAAGCTTGGAAATGAATTTCAGTATCAATTGAATCCCCAAGGGTCCTCACCAGCAGAGGTATTAGGTATAAATTACAAAAAAACATTAAAGCCCACTCTTGCATCCTTTGAAGATGAGATGAAAAAGAGTTCCATGGGGAAAATGGAAGAGTTGATATATCTCCAGCAACAGTCATCTGAGAAGGCTATGAAATTAGAGTCAAAGAGGAATCGTCTGGCTACTCTTCAGGCTCACATTGATGATGTAAGTTTAGCCAGCATCCTTTCCCACTATAGAATTGGACACTGGTCCTCTCTCTCTCTCTCACACACACACACGATATTTAATTTTGTATAATATATAACATTTTATCGGAAGTGAATCTGATGACATAATAAGTGGCATTCTATCTTCTAGTGGAGATGCTCTCAGAGTCAGAGGTACCTGCACTATTTGGAAATCAAAAATGCATAAAAAATTTCCCACTTAACTGTTTTAAAATATGTACAAAAGAATGTTTTGGGTAATAATTGATACTTGTAAAATTGTTTATGATCCAAATTTTAGAATGTAATGATTTATCATGCCTCAATGAGCTGAGTTTTGAGTCTCTTCTTTTTATGAAGTGAATTAGTAGTTGATCATTTATATTAGCGCCACTGAACAGCTTCTCTTTGGCCATGGTATATTTGTGTTTCTTTTTCTTCTTGCGTGCATGCGCTGCATGCGTGTCACTGCTTAAATGTTTTGGCCTTTCAGCATTGAATTTGAAAATTAGATAAAGCGATGTTACCATTATTCACAAATTCTAATGGCATAAGGTCTATCAGCTTAAAATATATCTTCTATTAGTCCTTTGGGGACGTATAACGGTGCCTTCAGCCTAATATGGCTATTTGTTTCCTTTTATGATTAATGATAGTTGGAGGCTCAGTTGGACTTGGTAAAGAAGGAAAGACTGGACTTCACATCTAGCTGTGCAATAGAAGCCGGAAGGATAGTTGAAGAAGTTGAAGCAGAAACGCAGAAGTTGGATCAGGTTGAAAGAGAGGCGGCGGACTTCCTGAAGGTAAGGCATTTGCAATTTAGACAAGATTTATACTGTAATGCATGGCTTCTAAATGTCTTCCGACAAATGTTGACTTGTGTGGTTTCTCGTCTTAGATGTATAATCTTCATTTTAATTGGCATCTTTTTCACTTTCAAAGGCGTCCAAGGCCAAATTACAGGAAACAATCGCACAAACTGAGGAAGAAGTGCAGCTGTGTGCCCATGAACTCTTTGCTGTTGTTGATTCAGTTTCAAAATATAAAGAGTATATTACATCAAAAGTTGGCATGATGAAGAATGATCTCGCAGAAGCTGCCGGGACTATAGCAGATCTGCATAAAGCTGGTTTGCCTGTCTCTGACGCAAACCACTGATTCCTCCTGATCTTAAGTACATTATGTTTCTTCGTTTTTACTTAAAATATGGTTATGTTGGTACACCATCCCTTACAAAGGTCTACAAGTGTGTATTCCATGGTATGGTCTTAACAATTGATTAGACTGTTGCTGTGAAGATCTCATTAAGTTCTCGTCTGATCATGCTAGTCACGAAGTTGACATTTGTTATTTTGCCCACTTGTATAGTAGCACAAAATCCAGATTCAGATATGGAACCACAAGAAACTTAACTGACAACACCACGGAACACGTAGCATTTAAATTTATTGCATGTCATAAACTTTCCATGAATAATGATGTCATTAAAAGTACGTTGTGTCAACCCTGACTGAAGCAATTCTATTATGCATATAGTTCAATCTGAGAAAACTGCAGCTATAGATTTTCCTTAATTATGTCCATTCAGAAGCTTAGCAGGTTGACAAGTAGTGCATCTTCATACTGAATCTCAACCTTGGCCAATTAATCTTCACATGAGTACAAATAAAACATTCAAATATAGGTGTGTATTTGAGAGAAGTAACTTTCTTTTTCTTACTGATAAATACTACGAATAAGACACTCAGCTGATACAACAAAATCGGAAGGTTTAACATAAATAAAAGTAATCCTCATAGCGGAGCTCAGCATGACACATATAGCTGCCACAAAAGCCAACCAAACACAAAACACCACTTCTTATAAAAGCCCATTTCCTGACTAAACCTTTACGGAGATGAAAGATCCATATCTACTGCTCATCATTGTTATCAATCCGTGGATCACCATTGCCTGCATCAACTTTCACATTTTCATCACTCCTCTGGTTATTCTCATCCACTTCTAGCACATCATCCATCATATCATCCTCCACAACATTGATATCCTCAACATCCTCATCTTCATTGTTGCTGACACCAGGAATCTTTCGAGTCTTGGGTCCACGCTCAAGCCTATGAGTCTCTAGCTCTTTGTCCATAGTCTCTTGAAGGTTTGAAACATTTTTGTTGGCTCTCCTTTCTAAAATATTTTTCCATTCCTCCTCAGCTTTTGCAATATTCTGTTCAGCAATTTTTTTCTGGTATTGCGACAATTCCTCTCTCCTTGCAGCTTTCCATTCCTCGAATATCTGATGAGGAAAAATAAAAGTCAAGTGTCTGTCAGCATAACACATGTCCACATAATCAATAAGTCCTGAGGCTCTTTGATGTGTTTTCTAACACTCAAGTCTCACATGCTCAGTCAACTATAGAATTCACACCACTGCATTCAGTACTCCCCCCTCCCCTATCCACAAACACAAGTGCATTCCCATAGAAACTCACACTACCAAAGCTACAGGGTTAAATAAACATAATTTTCTGCCACCTAAACAAATAATTTCTGTTCACAACTCATGCATTGTGGATTTTCAATTTTCTATCCATTTGGAAGTATTTCATTCGTATATAACGCAATCAAATGTGTGCAGCTTGATAGTTACCTGATCTTTTCTCTGCTCAAGTAAGGTTGAATCTTCTTCCAATGGTTTGGCAAAAGAATAAAAGATCGGGGGCTCGGCTTTGGTCCTGGAAATTAACACAGCCAAAAAATATAAAGAGAAATTATGAACTGTTACCAGGATAGATAACTGATCAGCCTACACTGCTGCAAAGAGGGATTTTGCAGTCATTTAACAGCTTCAACATTCTGTACATGAACAGAAACTTATCTTCGCGTCAATAAAATTGGAATATGGACATTTGGACCGAAATAAGAAATAACCTGCAAAATAGAACTCAATTAACACGATAAGTTCACTGCAGACAGATCTAGAATAGTGCAGACGCAGACAGTAGAATAAAAGAGGCTGCTCCCGAAACATTTCGAATGAACTTGTAATGATCTCAAAAACTCGAGGGCATTGAATAAAAATGGAATACATTTCATACAGGCAGGTCATGTAGAACAAGCTTCCATTGCTGGTTGCATCAGGAATTAATATCTGATGTAGCTAACGCAAATACCTTATAAAATTGGCTAGTTTTTTGTGGTGCTCAATCCACCGAAGAAACAGCAATTCCAGCCTCTTCTCCTCAGCTTTAGCAGCAAGACGTGCTCGAAGAGTCTTAACACGGAGACAAGAGTTGGGAGTTACATTTCTCATATCACTTATTAGGATTTATCACAGAAGTTCGTTGCAAGAATTGCTGAAAAATGTTAAACTGAAACACACCAGATCTCTTTTCAGCTTTTCATCAAGCTGCTCCCGCTCTTGTTGTCTTAACTTCTCACTTTCTTCGCGCGCCCTTTGCTCAGCCTGGCATTATTTTGATGTCAAAAGTACTTCTCTAGGCTTCGGTTTTATGATCATTAGAACAAATGTTTCTTTCTTGAGGTCTTTCTAACTTTTTGAGGGGGGAGGAAGGGACGGGAAAATAGTTGTAGATTATATGAGAAAAAATGCACTCGTAGAATAGCTGGTGTGGACTGTAAGAAAGCATACGATACACCAGAAACCCCATCCACCTATTAAAGACATGCTTTCAACAGGTATGGTATCAACAACATACCCAGTGAAATCCCACATGTATAGATGTTTCAAGATTCTTGGGGATTCATAAAAATGAAAATATTCCAATATAAAAAAAACTAAAAAACCAAGTTCATTAGGATAATCCTAGAATTATAAAGTTCAACAATTACAAAAGTGAGAACCAATTTCGTTTGTAGGTTAATCCCAGTACATTCCTCTGTAAACTCAAATTCTCCCGACTAAAGTACAAAATTCAAATATTAACTCAAGCTGCAACCAAATCATTAGACCACACACTCAAACTCGTATAATTTTCTCACCCGATAATTTTTATCCTCCCATAAAGTTGCAAGTACCCTACTACACTCAAGTTAGGTCAGTTGTATAAATCCTCAGTGAGCTGTCACAATATCTACTACAAATGCTCATCTTAAGTCAATATTATACAAATTAAAAATAGAAACAAAAATAAAAATAAAAAGCACATCCTCCAATGAAGTTTTATGTTAGCAATAAAAACATTCAACCAGAGTTAATACAACAATGTCAGATCGGAGTGCTTACCCTTTTCAAAGAATCTGACCTCCGCATGTAAGCCTCTGTCCCTGAAAGCTGCATGTCTTCTTTCCGGAATTTCTGTAAACATTCCACACATATAATTGGAGTAAAGGTAAGTGAGCTAAGTGTTGCCGTGCCAAACAGAAACTAACGATTGTACAACTGAATTACTGAGGGTTCTAAATTAAGAATTATCTTTCAAGGAAATATTATCAAACTGATAATGTAGAACGACAAGATGATTAAAAACAGTTTCTTGGCTAACTCCAAAAATTTTCCCCTAGAGGACCCTAGATATATAAGAGGAACAACATTAAACAAAAATAAAGTCATCAAGATGTTTTACCAATCCCTTGAAAGCACTTGAACCCCTTATTTGGACATCAAATTTATAATTCTCTTTCAATAGTTTTTCTTCTTTATAGTATCAGAGTTTGAAAATCAAGTCCCTCATTAGTCTGTAACTGACAATTCAACTCTTTTTTCAGTGACGAAATAGATTCATTGGTATGTGCTGCAAGAAACACTTTTTTTGGATATGCAACTATTAACGACTTTCCTGAAAAAAGAATTTCAATACCACTTTTCTGGTTTAGGTGATTGAGCACTATTCTGATGTTGCCTTAACAAATTATTTGGATAACTTCTTCAACTTAAGAAATTAAGCACAAGCATATCCCCAGGAGATGGAATTTTATAGTAGTTCAACTATTACAGAAACCAGATTGGCACCTATGAGGCAGCTGGTAGGTTCAGAAGAAATAAATCAAAACCATAAAAAAGTACTCTATACTCACCTCCAAGGTCCCCAGCAGCTGCCCCAACATTCTCTTATTCCTACCAACCAATTTAGGATCCTCGTTTTTGGGCAAGACTCTTGGCACAGGCTCTGGTGGAGGTATATCAAAATCCTACAATTCAAAGAAAATGAATATCAGTATCTCTAAGGTGCAAAAACATACCATTATCTTTACGAATAGTGTGGCGCCCCAAAAGTGTTCCATCCATATTTACCATTTTGGATGGCCTTTGAAAGCCATCTCTTCGTAGCCAATTGGATGGCTTCCTTTCATTCTGGTTGGCAGGTGCCACCCTGGGGATTGCCTCCACAATTGACTCTTCCTTATTTGCATCCCTTGGAGCTCCGGATACATCCTCAGCAATCTCCCCCTCTTCAATCTGAATCCATAAACCAATATACAATTAATAAGATTTTTACTCTATTTGGAATGGCAACGAATGACGACAACAACAAGAGAAAATAGCCTTAAAATGATTTGGCTATGAATTATCCATATAACTTGTTTCTTTAAGTAAATTAGTAGTTCTAGTTCTAAACATACGAATTTCTGAGGTGAGGATTATTGAATTTTCAGTGTTCACCTTCACAACAGTAGAAGACATACGCCTTTTAGGTGCTGGCTGATCCTCTGCATCATTCCTCTCGGCCTAAATAGCCAATTAACCAAAACACCGAACTCAATAACTAAAAAAGGACGTAAGTTACAAGAAGCTTCATCTCAAAAACATACAAAGAGAACTTACAGGTCTAACAACGCCGCGTTGGCGGCCACCATTGGCAACAAAACTCCGTGGACCTCCGCCACCGCGTCGAAGACCTCTTGGATCCTTAAGCCGCTCAGTAATCTAGTTAACCAATAGTATAAAAGTTACAAAAACAAAACCTAGAAAATTGTATGGCATAATGAAAGATATAGAACGAACCTCGCGTTGTTGCCTATTGAGTTCAAAGAGCTCTTTGCGGAGCTCTTCCTCCGTCTTCTCCACTACGCCGCTCGCCATTTTTAGGGCTTTGAGTTTTCTTCACTGTCTCTCTCTCTTTTTATTAAAAAACCTTTAAAAACTCGGACCAGCGAATGGTCGAGCCGGTATAGCACTGCAACTAAATAACACGTGAACCCGGTTCGGTTTTGTTAGATTTTTAATTTTCATCCCAAAAAATCACATTAAATAATAATTATGAAGGAATTATTTGGTAGTTAGTTAGAGTTATACACGTATTGATAATGTAGAAATAAATTATGAGTAAATTTTTATGTATTATTTTACTCAGGTATTAATTTTAGATGAATTAGTTTTATGTATTATTTTATTCGTATATTAGTTTAACAAGAATTAGTTATTTCACCAAACGGTATACATAAGTCGGTTTGATTTGCTTTATCATTAAAGAAAATCTAAATCAATTATGTTAGTTTATTAAACTAAAAATTAATTCAAACCACATAAAGCTGGTGTTTGGTCATAGATTTTCAAATATTTTTGGTAAATGTTATTTGGGTGACATTTCAGCATGTGTTTGGCCATAGTATTTGGGAAATATATTTCACTTTTTTGGAAAAAATATGATTTATACCCATAAGTTTTAAAAATATCAAAACTAACCATAAGTTTATATTACAAGTCAATTGGATCTTTGTTACAACAATAACAAAATAGTGTCCATGACACTAGAGCAATGTGGTAATTTTAAGTGCAACAAGCATCATTTCATATATCGTGAAGTAGACAAAACACATGCCTTTGTTATGGTGAGCTGATTATTCATTATTTTCATCAATAATCATATTATCATTTCACATTCACCAAAAATTTCATCACTACTTTGAAATTAATGTAAAGAATTATGTAATACAACGTAAGCAACAACTATAGAGGGTGCTTTTGTAAAAGATAAAAGTTTGAGGTATACATTCAATTTTTAAAAGATCCCAAACAATGAGAGTTTGACCCAAATACTAGAAAAAACTAGTGTATAGACAAACACTATTTGTCAAGTTTTTTCCTAAATATTATTTGAAAAATCTATGACCAAACGGGCCCAAAGTTGGGTTTTTTTTTAATAGTCTTTGGTCGATTCTTTCAATTTTTTAACTTTTTACAACTATAGGGTGTTTGGAAAGAGATTAAATATTTTCACTTACCTATGTGATAAGCTAAACTTTAAAACTGTTAAATGAATAGAATTTTTTGAAAAGACAGTAAAATTCATATGAGTACAATATATTTTTATTGAAATATCAACGTTAATCATGTTAAATTAATAAGATTAAAGGCTATAGTCAAACTGAATACAAAACATAATATTTACACATTGGACGAACCAATAAGATTTTACAAAATATGATGAAAAAATATATAGTAAAAAGCTAGTCAAAATCATTATCTTTTGACTCTAAAAAAGAAAGTACGACAATTAAAATGGACGAATGTAGTATAAGTTATGAAAAATAATACATGAATAACTTGAATCTTATCGTCCAATTACTAAACAACCGCTAAGGGCGTGTTTGATATAAAGAAATATTTTCCATGAAACTGATTGTTTAGTAAAAAGGTGAATCTCTTACTTATTTTTTAGTGTTTGATAAATAAGTGAGAATATTATTTAAAAAACATTTATATGTTATCTAATAAGATGTTACGGAAGTGGATAGGGGTGGGGAGTGGGGTTTCGGGGGTGGTATGGTCGAAGACTGAGGGTTAGAAGGACAGAGGAGGAGACAATAAATTTAAAAAGGAAAAAGTATAAATATACTCTCGAACTATCATAAATGGGATGCAGAAATTAAAATATATGTTATTAACACTAACGAAATCTAAATAGAGACATGTAATATAACCTTATCTGTCTATCCAATATTTAATAAATATGAATTGATACATCGGTGTAAAGGGTAATAAAGTTACAATACATTAGCAAAAGCAACGAGACAAAAAATCTGAAAGTGAAAACATGTTGCTTAGTCATTGACAAAAAGGTTGTTGAACAAAACGATATAAGCAAGCAATATTTACAAAATTTTTGACAAATAAAAATCATAGGCATGCAAAAATCATTTAATTTTGTAATATTTTTCATCGTATCATGAACAGAAATTATTAGGGATTCAAATTTATTTACGTAGAATGTAAATTATATATAAGAAAAAGAACCAAAAATCAAATCCAACTAATTGTTTGACAAAATTATGTAACTTTTTAATAGTTAAACTATTTGAAAGCCTTGCAATAGAAATCAATGACAGGAAAAATAGATTGAAATAATCAATTTTAAGATTCTATTTGTATATCATTTGATTTATTTTAGTAATAATCAACTTCATTAAGTTTCTAAAATATTAATTACAATAAAATAAAGTTTATACACATGGAAAATTGTATTAGTACATGTTAAATTTCACAAAGGCTCTTTCATAGCGCCTTTATATTATATATTTATTACAAATATACGGAAATACATATCTTTTCTTTCATTTATTTCTATTATCTTCTATTACTTTTAATAATCTTCAAAATTCTTTATTTCTTTAATGTATTTGAATTGCATATTAATGAATTCGAGTTATATATTATATATCAACTCTAGTTTTTAATGTATCTGAGCTACATATTAATGTATTCGAGCCAGTATTTGATGTATCCGAGCTACATATTATGTATCTGAACTAGTTTTTAATGTATCCGATTACATATTAATGTATCTGAGACCATATTTAATGTATTCGAGATTTAATTATTGTATCAGTTTTTTTTTAAATTTTAAGGAATTATTGTAATTAAATTCTCATTACAGATAAATTATATTTTCAAAATAAAACCATAAAATTTATGTAATTTACACATTTTTTTATTAATATTAATAAAGCTTTGTTAAGGAATAACTATTATGCGCTGCCAATTTTAGAATTAGATAATTAAAAAAACAGATATTTTATTTTAGTAAGTTTTACTTATATTAATGTGAGATGTTTTGGTATTCCGTTGGGATCTCAAATAGTCAAATTTATAGATCTCCCACTCAAAATTTAATTTCTTTGTAAATTATACAAAATTTGATTTGACTTTCTTTAATAGTGTATTTCTTTTTAACAATATAACACTCACACTCAAAGTTCTACAATTTGACTGTTTTATTAAAATGGTGCATAAGCAAAAAAGAACCACTTATAGATTTAAAAGAAAAAATTCTTATTATACAATAATTTAAAGAAGAAGATTTGGATAATATTTAAAAAATTTATAAAATTTAAAGACTAGCGTATGATATCCATTTTTTATGTAGCATCTGTTATATGTTGGGCCAATTGGGACCCTAATTACACAAACATAAGTCAATAGCTCTGTGTTGGGCTTTTTGTTACATCTTCTTTCGTACGAATTTGCGATTATTTATTTATTCGTAAATTAAATTATCTTAAAATTAAATAAAATAAGATAAATTTAATTAAGATAAGGTAAAATAAGTTTTTTTTTCTTTTTTCTTGTTCAATATAACTGTTAAATATTATTGTACAAATATTTTTTCTTTAGGGTATTCTTTTCACTAATCATATCTTATGTACTTGCATACTTTTTGGCAAAATTTCATGTTATTTTTCTTTCTTTTCATGTGAAAGCTATAAAAAAAAATATTGTATTACAATAAGAATTACTGATCGAAAGTAATAGATTTTACTATAATTTCATTTTATTTCTTAAGTTTTATGTTTTTTGACATCTTGATTTTAAATAGCAATATAGGCTATCAAAACAATCTATCTTCACGTGATAGAAATAAGAATGCGTATATATCATTCTTTTAAAACGTCCACTTATGAAATTATACTAAATATATTTTTATTTATTTAACAATAATAGAGAATAATACATCATGAAAAATAATAATTAAGGTACTTATCTATATTCTATAATTAGAAAAATAATACTAAATTGTCACCTCCATAAACTTATAAAATTCCAGCATCCAAATAAATTAATAACACCTAGTTACATATGATGTTATCCTATAAGCCAGACCATTCTCTATAATGTCATCCCAACTCTATTTTTTGAAAATTTATGCTATAGTTGATAAATTTTAGAGGTCAATAAGAAGAAAAAAAAAAGGATCATATATTTTTCAAGTTTTTTTTTAATCCCTAATTCTACGGCTAGCATTAAGATTTCCTAGTGATTAGCATTTAATTAATTAGTGGTATAGCCCATCAAAGGCGTTAAGATGGAAATTAAATCACTATCTAATTTAGGTATAATTAGAGTAGTCTTTTTATTTACTATCCCTTTTCCCTTTTCATCCTAACTAAACTATTCGAACGAGAAATTTAATTAAGTTGAAATTGAATTAGAAAATTTAACTTGATTGTTTGACATTTTATTGCTAAAAAAGTACTCTACATTAGAAGTAGCATTACACTAGCTACATTAGTTATATATATTAATTAGATTAAAAATTTATTCGATTATCTTGTTTTCTTAAATAATGTATAGTAATAAACATTTAGAGACTTCTTTTTTCTCGAAGGAATAATCAAAACTGAATATATTTAACACAATCCCTTAAACTTGTCAGAATTTTTTATTTAGATCGAAATTTATTCGAGATTAACGTTTTGTTTGATGTACTCAATATTAATTAATTAATTACTTGTATTATATATACTAACACATCAAAATTTAGCATCAATCAAGGGTTCACATGGAACACCACCCACCCAAACCAAATCCCAAATCGATGACTTACATAAAGAAAGTATAAAGTGATATATACTATAGATCAAATAAAGGAAGTCCACGATAAATTTCATTGGACTTGGACAAACTTAATTACTTGACAATTTAATACAAGCATTTATAACTTATGCTAATTATTATTATTTTTTCAAAGGTAAGTAAGATGCAACATATGAACTTTTCAAAAGGTCAACATAGTATTATGCTCGTCCAAAGACCATATGAAATTCTTTCGTGTATATATATGAGTTAATTAAATTTAATATTTTCGATATCAAAATATAAAAAAACTAATATATGTATATATAGAAAAATAAAGTACTAAAATTTTGACAAATATAATATCTGAATCATAATTCTAAAATTACAATGCGTGATGCTAAGCACCTTAAAAGGTATAATTCATTGAATTTAAATTTTGAATCTGTCTCGAGCATGTATATTGCGTAGTATAACATCATTCAACTCTCTCCAGTTGAATGGCTTTGATCTTTATTAATGAGCGAAGAAATAGCAGCAGCAACAGCAACCCTAAACTTAGGATCAGAAGCAATTGCACTCATATTTTCATGAGCCAACATAGGAGGAATATTATTATTATTATTATTATTATTATTATGTTCACCTTGTAATTTAGGACCAGAAAAAAGGTTATTCCCTTCATAATTAGATAATTTAGACATCCAATTAGAATGTCCAATTTCATGATTATTTGAAGAAGAACTTGCAAAGGGGAATTGATGATTATTATTTGACATATTTTTGGTGAGATCAAGAACTAAGTTCCCTTGTGAAGAATTATTAGGATCACTAGAATTAAGAATATTGGTTCTTAAATTGGAGAAATTATTATAAGGTGAAGAAGAAGAAGAGTGATGGTAATTAGGTGCTAGATTATGGTGGTAATTAGGGAAATTAAGTGGTTGGTTTAAATTGGAATTGTGATTAAGAAGAGGACTAATACTTGAATCCACTAACATGAATGAAGCTGCTGCTGATGCTGTTGATGCCATTGCTGTTGCACCTACTGGAAGTGGATGATTATGTGTTCCTTCATATGTTGTAATCAATATCGACATGTCCTCCAAACATCTTTGTACCTACATTTAACATCGAATTTAACTTATATACGTTGACTCTTTAATATTAGCTAACTATTTACTAAAGTTAAAGAGTGATGCAACAAATTAAATCATAGGAAAATATTAATGTTTGACCAATTTCTCTCTAAAAACTTCAAACAAAGAATGAAATAATATGTCACAACAAAATTAAATTACATCGTTAATGTATATAAGTTAAACGTACCTGTTTTCTAACTGGACAACCGGGCGCCACCGTGCAACGATAGTAAGCCCTAGGACAATTAGGACTTCCTTTAGCAATTTTCTGACCATATTTTCTCCATTGACAACCATCATTCATCTGGAAAAAAAATTTGAATTTTTTTGAATAAAAAATGTATTTTTTTCGTTAAAAAAAAACGAAAGATTTTTAGCATTGAACTTACTGTAGCGGATTCACATCTTGCTCTAACTGAAACCCTAGATTTTCTGTTTGGTGGAGAAGCTGTAGTGACATGACTTGTTAATCCTCCCAAATTTTGTGGTTTATTTTGTAGTTGATGATTAATTGAAGGATGATCTTTTTTCTCCTTTCTTTGATCTTCTTCTAATATTTCCACTAATTTGCTGCTTGTAGTACTATTACTACTAACCAAAGTCAAAGATAACCCTAATTCATGATCACCATCCATAGTATCATCTTCTAATGATGTTGGTGATGAAATTCTATTAGTATTTAAAATATCCAAGATTTTTGGAACCTTTGTTTGTCCTTCATTTGTATCATCATTTCCACTCAATGAAAGAAAACTTTTGTGATCCTAAAATAAATAAACAAAAAAAAAGATTAGGAAGAAAAAGGACACAATTAAACATAAATGTTGAGTGAATTGATTTCTGGTCTGTTGGTCGCTCAACTAATAGTTATTATAGCAGAAAGTCATTTGTTCTTTAACAAATGATAATTAACTATTATAAGTTGAGTGACCATATGAAAAATTAAGTCGATATTTAGTTAAAACTATGACATGTGATTGATGAAAATTAAGTCGATTTTTAGTTAATACCTTGTGATTATTTTGATGAATTGAGAATTTTGCTTGTAGATCATAGTAATCTTTCATTGTTTGCTCCACTGCCTTCCTCAATACCTTGTTTTCCTCTTTCATCCTCTTCATCTCCTTTTCTAACATCGATAACTATCACACCAAACAAGTGAATAAAAGTGTGTGTGCTCTAACATTTCCATTAAAAAACTTTAAGACGAGATGATCACTACTCGTCTTGCAAGTAATTAATTAAAAAAAAAAGTATGTACCTCTTCATGAGTTTTTGGTAATTCTTGATCTTTTGGTTGTGTTTTCTCATTCAATTGTGATGATTCTACAATTTGATTTTCTTCATTTTCTTCTTCTCTAGCATCAAGTTTCAAGCTGAGATCAATTTCCACTTCATTATCATTTTCTGATTTGTTGTTTTCCATTTGGAAGAGAGAAGAAAAATAAAAATAAAACTTTGGTTTATCTTTTTGCTTTCTTAAATTTCTCTAATTTGTGTGCTGCTTTTGAGACACCAAAGTCAATTCCCTAATCTCAAAGTAATTATAATATAATTGGACATCTAAGGACGCATCTAAGTTTTGACTTTAATTAAATAAACCCATTAATACAAGCTAATTAATAGTAGTAGCAATAAAAAAGAATTGTAAGTAACTAATATAGTATTAGGAACTGGCAGTATAGTCTGGCATTGATCTTCAGCATCCTTTTTGTTATTTCCTACTTCCTAATTTAAGTGTAACCATTCGGATTTTGACAATCAAAACTTTTTAATTTTTATCGGTGAATTTGAACATAAAATCTTTACGTCTTTTTTAATTTAATAGCATTGCCGTCCTTTGCTTCAGGATTTGCCCCTCGATATGGTCAGTATATATTCTGTGTTATCGAATAATAAAATCTATACGTGTTCTAATTATAACGGTTCACCAGAACTTCTTTTATGCTCACTTAAAGGGTTGAGACCACCACGCCCCTCAAAAGAGGGAGGGTGTCTACTAAACATCTCAACACCATTTTTGTTTATCAGGTATTATTATATTTTGTGAATCGTAATATCGTACGATCACGCTGAGTTAGTTATTTGAAAATTATGTAAAAAAATTTATAATAATTAATAATTTAAAATATTTTAAACACATTATGTAAAAGTTACAATAAAAAACAATTTAACACCTAGTCTCTCGAGATGCAAATACCGCCACATAAATTGATAAATTACATGAACACCCTCAATAGCTCCCCCACTAGTACATTATTAAACCTTCGATAGTATGTATATTAATAGGCATCCCACTATATAAATTAGACTTGCGACTCTATGTAATAGTAGCATGCTTCAAGCACTTAATTTTCAACGTAAAATTTCAATTCCATTGCCAACTTGATGTAGACATAATAGGAACTTAACGACAGCAACAAACTAAAAAATATATCATCTAACGAAAGTTAAGTGATAAAAGTAGTAACTAATTATTTGATATAAATATTGAATGCGCATATAAAGTTTTTTGAAAAAAAAAACTTAGCTACTAATTGCTTAAATATAGGATTGTATATGATTCTAAAAGGATCGCACCTCAATATATATATATATATATA